CTCGCCGCCAGGATCGTGAGTTGGCAAGCCCATGCGAAGACCTCTACGATCCTCCAGGGCCCCGGCCGCCGCCGGGTCTCCTTCTGAAAGGGCAGTGCACGTTCCTCCTGGTAGTACCTGAGGGCGTCCTGCTCCTGCTGATCAGCCCGAAGCTTCCTGTTCGCCATTTCCTCGGTCATCAGAACCTCCAGCTCCTTCAGGTTGCTCCGGACGTGCCTGCGAGCACCTTTCGTCATGAAAACCTCGTTGTCCGCGTTCTCCATGAAAACCTCCTCGTCACTCGATGCCGTCTCCGCGGACTCTGGGTCGCTGGTGTGATAGTGGGATGTGCTCAGCTCTGAGTCGCCCGCGTCCTGGCCGTCGTTGCTGTCAGAATCGTGCGTGTCCTCCTCCTCGACGGTCTCAGCGACGCTGCGCTCATCCTTCTCCTCATGACTCGCAGTTCCGCTGAACATCTCGTCTGCGAGCTCGTCCTGCTCCTCGGACTGTCCGACGGGGAAGGCACTCGTGACCGGTGCCGGGAAATCCAGCAATGACACGCACGGATGCCCGGACGCAGCCGGGACCAACGGCTTGGTCACACCATTCGCCGTGAAAGTACCGCTCCTGAAGCTGATTGCTGCGTCCCCACTCTGCCATCTCATCAGGGCCGATGAGACCTGGCACCTCGGCATCGACCTCGGAGATCACAACCTCGCCCTGCGTGCCGTTGATGCCGACTGTGTAGCACCACGCACGCTCTGACAAGAGCGGCACGCCTGGGCAGAACTTGAAGTACTCGCGCTGATTGATGCTGTGGCACGGCACGCCCATGGCATCCAAAGTCTTCTGCAGCTCGACATGCCGCGGACGTCCACCGACAGCCCGCTTGCAGCCCGTGTCAATCATAGCCAGCCCCGCGGGCAAGACAACAAGCATGACGGACTGCTCATCTACCACCTTGCGGGGGCACTCCTCTCGGGTGGTGACCATGTGGGCCGCAGATCCCCCTTTTGCTGCCCAAGGGTCTGCGCCCTTTGCTGCCCAGGGGTCCGCGCCCCCTTTGACGGCAACGTCCTCCCCAGTCGGAGCGGCAGACGTTAGTCCTGGCACAGCTCCGTCTGGGGTGTTCTTGGAAGGTTCCCCTTCATCCTTCTTGGGCTTCTCCAGCGTGTAATGAATCACCGACTTCAGCGAACACTTCTTGCACTTCGCGAAGATCACGGTGCCATTTGACTGCCACTTCAACTCGCCCACAGGATGAACACACTCAGCCTGCTGCTGCATAAGCTCTGGGTCGAACTTCGCCTTCGGGCCTGGAACCAGCCTCTCGCCGTCGAACTGCGAGTCGTACATGGCTCGATGCATCTGCTGCTTCTCCAGGTCGCTCTGCGTGGCACCGACACTCATGACGTAGCTCCGTCCAGAGGCGGTGACTACACGCGGGACTCCAGATGCAGCTGGAGATGCCGTCGCAGCGGCAGGGGCACCTGAGCTCGCGGCTCCTGGAGGCGCTGGAAGATGGACACGCCGTCGTATTGCCTCCATGTTCTTCCACACGCTTCCGACTCCCTGCTGCTCAGGAGATGTAGGCAGGCTACGCCCTGGCAGAGGTGCCTGCTCACGTCGCTTCTGTAGGCCGTCGTAGATCTCGCCTGGGTTCAATCGGGCGTGCATCTCCATCTCCTGTTTCTCTATCAGCGCGAGGCGATCCAGCAACTCAGCTTTATCACGCTGCAAGACCTCTAGTCGCTTATCTTCCTCGCTCTTTCTCACTTCCTCGGAGGCTCCTGCCATGACCCAGTCCTCTTCCTTAGGGGCAGCGGCGGCCTCCCCAGTCGGGGCGGCAGACGTTAGTCCAGGCACAGCTCCGTCTGGGGATTATTTGGTCTTCGATGCTCCCTTCGCCGACGCCTCCACCACGTATGCAGGATGGGCCCTCGCAGGGCCGCTGGATAAGGAGATATCTGGCTTCTCGCAGCGGCGCGTGTAGAGATTGAGGCGCACGATGCGGTCGTTCTTAGTGATGAAGTGGATGGTTGCCGGCGGCGCCAGGTAATCCCTGAAGATATCCTGACGCGGATGCCAGCTGCAGAAGATCTCGTCCATCTCCTCTGGCGTGAACGGCACCTCCTTATCCTCACGCCGCTGGTCGTTGTCGTCCTCGGTGGCCTCAGGATCCTCGCTGGCCTCGTCCTCCTTCTTCACTTCCTTGCTGCTTCTTGCCTTCTTTCTCTCTTTCTTCTCTTCTTTGCTGCTCCTCGCCTTCTTCTTCTTCTTCTCTTTCTTTTCTTCCTTTTCTTCCTTCTCACCGCGGTCTTCTGGTGGACTCCGCTTCTCTTTCTTCGCACCGCGGCCTTCTGGTGTACTCCGCGACCTTGAACGCGAGGAAGCCTCCGCCTTGGGCGGAGGAGGGGCACGAGGCTCGCGAAGAACAGCTCCCCGATCCCGCTGGCGGTCGCCACGACGATCTCGATGATGATCTTCACGATGCTTGGTGTCGCGACTCCCGCCTTCGCCGCGCCGATCGCCACGGGGCTTGGTATCACGATTGCCGCCCATCACGATCTTGAATATAGTTGCCGTAATCTCGTCGAGATCCACCTCAGCCGCCGTGCAAGGCCTCGATGTGGTCAGCTGCAGGCGCCGCAAGCGGCCTTGCTTGAAGAAGATCGGCTTCTTGTTCGTCACGCGCTCCACGATGTGATGGACCGTGGCAAGGTCAGGAAACTCCAACTCCACGCTGTGCCCCTTTGCGTGGGTGTTGGCCAGAATGCGATGGCAACGCACGCATGCATCCTCGTCCCCCTGATCCTCCCCGCGCCTGGCCCGGGCGCGCGCGCGTTCATCACTGCTCTGTGCGGCCCCTGGGCCGTTGTCGGCGTCCTGGCGTAGGCTCGGCGCAGGCGTGCTTTTGGGCCTGGGGTGCATAATGATCCGCTCTGGCGCGTCCGCTCGACCCTCCACTGGACGCCTCTGGGCAGGCGCCGACTGGGGAGCACGGCGCCATGGAGCGCGGCCACGACGCTCCTCGGCACTGCCTGCCATGCCAACCCAGTGGACGATCGGTCCATGCACCTGCCTAGGCGCCGGCGGCTTCACAGAGCTCCGCTGGTTGGGCGACGCTGGCTGGCCATTCTTAGGCCCGATCTTGTTGTACGGCTCGCGCTCGCCACTCTTCACCTTGGGGCGCTCTGGGTCGCCACGCCAGTGGCCAGGCTGATCGCAGTCAGCACACCGGCTGTTAGCCTTGCGCTGGTCCGTCGGCTTCCGACCAGCCTGGCAGGAACCGCTGGCGTTGATCTTCTTGGGGTCCCGCTGCCGAGGAGCAACGAACCCGCGCTTCTGACGCTGTACCGCCGTCTTCTGCTTGGCCCTCCAGCCGGCCAAGAACGCTTCCTGAAGATCCTCCGGTGCCTCGTACTCCTCGTCATCTGGCCCGTCGTTGTCCGACGCCAGCTCCTCTTCGACCTCGGCGCCTTCCTCGAAGAAGGTGCCCTCGGCCCCTCCGAGATCACCTTCGTCCTGGTCGTCTGCCTCATCTTCGTCATGCTGCGCCTCCTCCAAGTCGCCGTGGTGTTCATCGTAGTCTTCGCCGTTCTCTACCTCGTGTACGTGCTGGCCAGAGCGTCCTCGCAGCACGTACGGCCTACGAGCCATGGGAGGGTGCGGATAGCGACCGCCTGAACTCCCAGAGGAGCGCCCGTGCTCAAGCTGCGCCGCAAACGGCGAGCGGCGAGGGAGCACTGAGCGCTTCTCGGGGTCGTGCACCTTCGAGTAGGCTGCCTTCAGCACGACCTCCATCCGCTTCGAGTCGTAGATGCCGCCACAGTTGAAGAGCACCTGCGCTCGCTCCTTCTGCGACAATCCAGCGCCACGAAGCATCTTGCTCGCCAACGCGCGATCGCTGATCGCTGATGTGGGATCCTCGAGCTGCAACTCCATGCGCTTCTTGCGCAAGTACGTGGTCCAATCCATGATCGGCTGCCCAGCTCGACGGTGTGCTCGCTCCCACTCCTGATGCACCTGATCGAGGCGCTCGTGATCCATCTTCTCGAAGGCGTCGTCGTAGATCGCAAAGATGGTCTCAAGCGTCTCCTCGCGTCGGAGGTCCGACGCATCAAGCACCTCGATGAGCTCTTTGGCTCGACCTGTCACTTGACTGTAGATGATCAGGCCCAGCTCCACATCTGAGAGCTGGTTGAGGTTGCGGATGACTTCAACCTCCTTGCGCCACTCTCGGTACTTCTTAGTACTCGTACCGATTGCACCATCGAACTCTGGGAGCTTCACCTGCGACAGCAGTAGACGTGCCCGTCTGGGACCGCCGTCGCCACCACGATCCCGATGTAAGGCCAGGATCTCCCGCTGGGTCTCGGCCATTACGCGCAGGACTGCATGCAGGTCCGGGGGACCTGTGCCAGCAGAGGACGCAGCCTCCACATCTGAGCCGTCTTGGCTGGCAGCCATGGCGGCCCGCGCGGGTGGTCACAGTCACCGAAGCAGAGCACGCAGTGCGTCCGCTGGAGCTTACAAGCTCCGCTACCAATGTCAGTGCAGTTGTTTTCCTCGCGGACCGCGCGGCGGTCGAAACAACGGGTGCGCCCCAGGGCCCTAGGACTAGGGCCAAAACAGCGGCGGGCAGCGTGCATGCCACAAAACAAGACAAGCGTGTACAACATACACACATGGTGGCACGGGCGGCAGAGGGGCAGGGGAGTGCACTCTTCACACTATCCTCCGTGTCTCCTTTCCCCTCCCTGCTGCTGCTCCCCTCTCTCCCCTCGTATTCCTCATCCTCACCGTCGCAGTGGCGGGAATGGCGAAGGGGCACGGGAGTCGGTTGGGAAGGTGGAAGGGGCGAGGTGCGGAAGGGAGGACGGGCCGAGGGGAGGGGAACGAGAGAGGGGAGAAAGAGGGCGGACGAGGAGGCGGCCGAGGATGCAGAAGAGGAGCAGAGAAGCGTGAGTGCGGAGTAGCGGGTGTCTGGGCGCGCGGGCAGGTAAACAAGACCAGGCCACGTCCATGAGCGAATTGAAGGTCACCAGGTTGCAAGGCACTCGCTCGTGGCGCATCTCCTGAGGAGGCGTCGCGTCGAGGGTGCGGAGGTACGTGAGCCGTCCCTCCCACCAGCTCCTCCCCCACCTCTTCTCCTCCTCGTTCTCAAACCCATCCTCATGGTCGTGCTCATCATCCTCCTCTTCCACACGATACCCAAACGCCCCAGTGGGCACGATAGCTCTGCAACCGGTATAAACGATCCCCGTGCGAGCACATCTCTGGATGTGCGCTGAGACGGGCACCCTTTGTGGCTGCATGCGCGCTTGCTTGAACACACTCAAGCCAAGCTCGTTCAAACGCGTGTCGATAAAACGAGGCCCATCCACAATCACTGGCCACGCATGTCATAATGCTCGCCAACACACTACTAAGATTCCACGCCTCCATATATCGGCGATGGACAGACCTCCCTTGAATAAACCACCCTTTAGTGAAAACGGCCTGAGACCGAAACTGGACCTGGACCGGAAAAAATAACGGCTGTGACGCCCTCTCGCGAAGCGAAAACGGCCAATTCATTAACCGACGTGTCAGGGTAGGATGTCTATCCAACTCCGAATATTATATATATTATATATATGTATATATACACATTCCTCTTCCTACATCTTTATAAGCCCGGGCGGGGGGAAAACCCGTCACCCCCCCCTCCCAGAACCGGACTCCCGGGACCTGGGGCTTTGGGGCCCTCCGGACGGGCCTCGAAGCGGCCACCGGGCCTCGCAAGGCGTTTTGCCAAGCCTTCCCAGCACACTTAGGGCGATCAGGGGGGTCATCGGAGACGTCCCAGAGACCCCCAAGACAGCACAAGAGCGCTCCAACAGTGACCGACGTGACCTCAAGATGGCCCAAGAGGCCTCCAGGACGGCCCCAAAGAGGCCTCCAAGAGCACTCCCAAGAAGGCCCCCCGAGGCAAAACTCATGGATTTTCTGTGGGTTTTTGCTGAATTGTGGGGTTCTCCTATTTTCGGCTTCCCGACGCTCGCAGACGGCGGTCTTCTGGGCGGCCGAAGCCGCCTGGGAGGCTCCCGAATCGCCCCACAACCATCCGAAAGGGCTTCCAGACAGTCCAAGAGAGCGCCGAAACGGCACAACAGGGGTCCAAGATGGCCCTCAGAGAGCCCCATGGCGGCCCAAGATGGCCCAAAGACACCCTCCGAAGAATTCCAAATCGTGATTCTGTCGTTCAGGGAGACGGCGGTTGGAAGCAGGGTGGCCCGCGGAAGCCCCCGGAGGCCCCCAGAATACGCCCAGGAGGCCTCCAGAAGGCCTTCAGAAAGCCCGAAACAACTTTTGTGAGGCCCCTAGAGGCTCTCCAAGGAGGAGCCTCCGCAAAAAAAAGCTGAGTAGGATGGGGAGAATGCGCAGGGTATGGCGAACAGAAGGAACAATAAGCATGGAGGAAGGATAACGAATAGCATCATTATAGCGGCGATGCCAGAAAAGGCAACCAGGAGTTATCGCTAAATTGTCGGCTTGACCTTCCTGCCATTCCGCCTGCATACCAAACTTCAAGGACCAAGGTGCATGGCGCGAAGCGCCAGTGCAGTCTTCAATCTATATATACATATATGTATACACATAGATGTTCGTATCAGATGCATCAGGGCTGGGTCGACGTAGGAATGCATGAACCCTGCGAAACGTGTACTTGCCACTGACACCTTATATCGTCAACTCGGCCGGTGCATGCGCGAAGGAGGAACGGCCACACCAGACCTGCTTTCTGGGCTCCTGGGCATGCGAAGAGTCACCGACCGCTCCGTCCCCTCCCGTTCACTCCCCCCTAGTTCCTAGTTTCGTGGATGCCATGACAATGGACACTCTAACAATCCCATCATGGAATTTCAAACATGTGTTCAAAACGTGTAGAACATGCTCGAAAACTGTTTCACACATGTTTTTACTTTATCAACCATGTCTTTACTTATTTAAAACGCTTTTGAAACATGCTTCCTCTCCATTGATCGTCCTCCACAACCCGAGTTGTGCCGGACCCAATCCTCTCCTCCCCCCATTGCACTCCCAGCAGACCTCCGACGTCGCAATCTTTCAACACGCTGCCCCGGGACTCTGCACCGAACACCACCATCCCAGCTTCGCAGCGGTATGTCAAGCGATGTGGGCGTCCGCGCCATGAGTGGACGACCATGGTACAGAGAGAGTCCTTTCGTGCCAATCTGAGTTCTGACCTTGTGCATGATCAGCGCATGTGGCGGCACAGCGTTGTACAGTACTGTCAGCGTCCACGCGCCTCTGGCGTATGACTTGAGTGTGTGTGTGTGTGTGCCCCGGGACTCTCGATCCCCCTAACGACCCTCCGGCCCCCCATCCCTGGACGCCGCTCCCGAGCGGCATCCGCCCAGACCATGCCCCTGGCCTCCTCCCGGGGCCTACCCTGGCCAAGGCAACTGTCCTCCCGGATCGGCCCCTGGCCGGCCAGAAGCCCCGCAAGGGGCACCCGACATCGGGCGTACGCCAACATTAGGAAGCCCAGGGTTCGCTAATCTAAGGACTGGATTCCCGCAAAAGCGACGGAAACCTTCCCGAAGCCCTTTCGAAACCCTCAAGTTTTTAGGAACCCTTCCCGGAGGGTTTTCGGAGGGTTTCGGGAGGGTGTCGGTTGTTCTGGTCGAAGGAAACCAAACCCTAGCGAACCCTGGACTTTCTAACGCTAGCATTAAGTCGGGCGTGTCCCCCTACAGGGGAATCTGGGGCGACAAAAATACAAATACTCAAAACATGCCCCCCAAATTAGCAAAAACAGCTAAAACATCATCCCAAGACTATGTTCTTACTATTTCTGACTATTCCCCCTGCAGAGGGACGGGCCCCACTTGACGCTGGCATGGCCTACGGCTCCGCGGATCTGGCGCGCGAGCCCCGGACCCCCAGGGATCGGAGGAGGCACGCCCTTGCCATCGCTCGGACGTCCATTCCCTGTGTTTTTTTCGGTTTCGTGCGTGGCTTTTTCGCCAGATGATCAAGGATGCTCCTCGATGCTCCTCGCCGAAGGGAAAGTACACACGTCCGAGCGATGCCAAGCGCCCGAAGCACGAGGCCAAGTGCCGCCCGACGTGGCGCCGGAGCGCGCCGGCTCTGCAGGAGAGGGCGGGACCCGCCGCCGACCCGCGCGCCCATGATCCATCATAGATTGAACATGCAGGGATTTAGTAGTAAAAACAAAGATGAGTTCATGCATACATGTAGTCATACATTGATCATGCATTTCAATCCAATATGTTTAGAAATCCTATGTATTAAAACCTGCCCTGTATACTTGCACCCTCTTCTGCACAAGCTTGGCGGCGAGCCAGGGGGGGAAACGAGAAGGAGAAGGCCTTCTCGGAGGGCGGCGGGACTTCTCGGGAGCCCTCGCGCCTTCTGAGAAGCTGTTTGCGCCTTCGGGAAAGGCCCAACAAAAACTTCTCAGAAGGCCGGGGGACTTCCGAGCCTTCTGAGAAGGCCCGCCCCTTCTCATTTCCCCCCCTCGCCCGCCGCCGACAAGCCGAATCCGAAGAACAAGCATCCGGCGCGATTCGTTCGATCCCCCCCCCGCGACCCACTCCGCGGGAAGGGCGGGACTTGGCGGCGCGCAAGGACGGGGATGGCGGATTCTCAGAGCATTATTTGGTAGGCCTATCGGCACGCCAGGACGCTTCGCCACTGCTTGATTCTTCGAGGGGGGCCGCTTCTTAGGAGGCGCCGGCCCTACGTTTATGCTGCTCCCATCGTACTTAAGGACCACATCCCAGAAATAATTTCGAGCACCCAGAACAATGTGGAAAGTGTCGGAAGAGTGTCGAAGAGTATCGAAAGAGTGTCTCCCAGGGCCCGACACGTGAAAACCCTCGAGTTTTGGGGTGCTTTCCTGGTGCTCGAAATGAATTCTGGTGATCTAGGCTAAAGTAGGTTGGAACATCATAACCTTACGTCCACAGATACAACCCACGCCCTCAAAGACGGGCGCTCCCGAGGAGCACTCGCCCATCCCCCTGCCCCCCTCTGCGCGCAGCCGCACGCGGGCGGGGCGCCCCTCCGCGGCAAGGCTTAAGTCGGGCCTGTGCCTCTACAGGAGGAATCTTCAGAAGTAGTCACAACATCGTCCGGGGACGATTTTCGGACTATTTTTGCCCATCTGGGGGGGTATTGTTCTGAGCGTTCTTCATTTTTCGCTCAAAGCCCCCCTGCAGGGGGACATGCCCGTCCTGAGGCGAAGCCCACGCCTTCCACGAAGCACGGGCGCTCCCGATCGGGCCTTGGCAGAACTGGATTCAGTGGAACCTGGTTTAGTGATCTCTACCGGGGGCGCCCCCCCGTCCCATTTCCACTAACCGGAACTGCCGTCACCCGAAAAAACACCAGTTACGGCAAAAACCTGGTTTTAATGAATCTGGCCAATTCAGGGGCCCCCCAGGGCCCTACCACTAACCGGGTCCCCTTACCCGGGGTCCTGGCTAGCTATACCCGACCCGAGGAGCACTCGCCCCTCCCCCTGCCCCCCTCTGCGCGCAGCTGACCGCGCAGCCGACCTGCGCGCCCCTCCGCGGGCAGGTCGGGGCGCCCCTCCCGCGGTTTGGGCGGGGCGCCGAGACCGAGGACCGCCGCAGAAAGCCCCCCCCCCGCGCCGGACGGGGGCAGACCAGACGCCGGCCGGCCTGGTAGAGCTGCACGGCGCTGGCCAGGTCGCGGGCTTTGGCGAGCCCCTTGATGAGCGTGGCGTAGAGCACCTCGGAGGGGGAGGAGGGGGAGGGGGAGGAGGAGGAGGAGGAGGAGGAGGAGGAGGAGGAGGAGGAGGAGGAGGAGGAGGACGAGGACCACGACGAGGAGGAGGAGGAGGAGGAGGAGAAGGAGGAGGGGAGGGGGAGGAGGAGGAGGAGGAGGAGGAGGAGGAGGAGGAGGAGGAGGAGGAGGAGGAGGAGGAGGAGGAGGAGGAGGTCTGATATTAGCGACCCCCCAGTCCTGAAATCTAGGAACGACAAGGCCATGCAAAGCAGCAGCGGCAGGGCAGCAAGAAGGCCCGTGCTGGCCGCCGCGAGCGGCAGCACGTTGCCTCCTCGAAGACGAGCGGCGGCAACCTCGAAGCCACGCTGCACAGTACTGCGCGCTGGAGGTGGAGCGCTGCCTGGGGCATGCGGCCGCCCGCCTCGTCGTGGGCGCCGGCAGCGCTGGGCCCAGCAGCCGCCGCGGGCACGGCCCGAGGCGCACGGCGCATGTCGTGTGGTGCTGCCTCTGCAGCCGGAACACGGCAAGGCGCCTGGCCGGCTTGAGCGCAAGCTGCCCTGGCGGGCCTCCGAATGTGCCCGGGGCTCGCCAGCCCGAAAGCGAGCCGGGCTGCGAAGGCGCGGGAGACCGACTCCCCGCTTGGCGTGCCCGCGCCTCTGAAGGGGTCCCAGGACGCACAAATAAATACACACAAATAAAAAGATTCCCCATATTTTCCTATATTTTCTGGGTTTCTGCCTTCCCCACCACTTCCCATATTTTCCCATATTTTCCTGGGGATCGACGATTAATTGTGTCTGTGTATTGTTTCCCCTCCTGAGCCTCTCGGAGCGACGGAGTGGGTGGCGTGGCGCGCTGGACAGTGACTGCCGCGGGGGGCTGCGGCGGCCGCGCAGCAGTTGGGTGCCGGACGGGCACGGCGCTCTGTGGGCACTGGCAGCTGTCGCGTAATTCCTGCGGGCCGAGCGAAGCAGAGGGCTCCTCCATGCGCAGATGCTCGATACTGGGGCACTTGTAGAGCCTGTGGTGCAGGGCTCCCCTCTCCCCGCAGCGCTGGCACCCATGTTCTTGACTTGTCCTGGGCGCAGGAAGCCTGGCTTCACTCCAACAGGTGCCTCCTACCGAGCTTCTAGCTGTAGCCTTGTGATGCAAGCTCCCGGTTTCGCTGGTCGCTTTGCTGAGCAACCGCCCGAGGAGGACTCCAGTGCAACTGGCTCAGCCACGCTCCTGTCACACGACTGAGACTGATGACGTCCGAAGCAACTGACGCTGCTTTACGCGCGAAGTCGCGCAGAAGTCCCGCACTGAAATCAACGCCGAATGCAGCTGCCGAAACATGCGAAACATGGCAGCCGAAGTCGTCGAGAGTCCGATCCTTGCCAGAGCCAGCAGCACCGCCTGCGCGGGATCCACGCTGGGCCCAGAGCCTGGGCTTCGAACGCAACGCGCGGCCTGCTCCACAAACTGCCTTCTCGGGCATGTCCACCTACAGGCGGATGTTGGAGGAACCAATAAACATACTCCAAAAATACTCAACAATAATCAAACATACTCGAAAAATCGTGCCCATACTATTTTCCTACTATTTTTGGATACTCCTCCTGTAGAGGGAGAGGCCCGACTTGAGGCTAGGACCCAATGTTTCACGGCTTCGACCGAGTGGGCGGGCTCCGCGCCGAGATGCCCGCACACGGAGCCTTTACTGGGGGAGCCCGGGGGCCAAGCGCTCTGCGGCTCGGGAAGCAGAGGTCCTTTGGTGGCAGGGCTGGAGCTGAACGGTGTCTTTGGCGATCTCGCGGGCCGTTTTCGTTGCGACTTCGCTCTGCGGTCAAGGCGGGTTGAAGACACAACGAGGGACAACGAACACAACACGAAAACGAACAACGCCGTTTAGGTTCAGCCCTGCCTGATAGCATGCACCACTCGGTCAGCCGATGCCTGTGACAACCGACGCCCACGCCGCAAAGGCCGTCGGGGACCCCCTCATGGTGGCGCTGGCCTGTGCTCCAGCTTCTCGCGTGGCTTCGACGCCTTGGTTGTGGCGCGCTCCTTTCTGGAAACGCCTGCTCTGCTCGGAAGCTCGCCCGGCAGACCCGTCCTCGGTATCCGTGCGTGGACACCCAGCTCCAACAGATCTATCAGATTCGACCAAGGCCCACCGATCGTCTATACTGGACGCCAACTCGCTCGAGCTGGCCAGGTAGCCAAGTCTTGTCCCAATGGACTCGTAACCTGTTAAGGGTTTACTCTGTCCCAGCCGAGCCCAGCCGAGACACTGCAGCTAGCCAGCACGGCATCTAAAGCAGGGGTTCGACCACAAGAAGGCTTCACCAAGAAACCCAACCCTGAGACCCCAGGACGTCCATTGATTTGGGTGTGGGGGCGTCACGCTTACCATAGCAAGACCATACAATCCCAAGAAACCCAGGGCACCCTGGATGCAACCAGGGTGTTTCTTGGCATGGGTTTCTACTGTTGGGGCATTGATGACCAGCGGCGGCAGAAATGCCAGAAGGTCGCGCGCCCGCCTGCCGGCCAAGTCCAGATAGCGACTCGACACATGGCGCGTGTGGCTCCACAAACCCTTGGCGGTCCCAGCCCTCCAAGTGCTCCCCACAGGCTCTGCCAGGCTGGACCCGCGGGGGCTCCGACTGCTGAAGGAGGGCCTCGAGCGCCTGAGACCCCACTGCTGGAAGCTTGGTGGCGCCAACTTCATCCGATGCAAAAACTGCAAGTTCCTGGACCTTGTCCCTTGCAGACCTGAAGCCAGCAGGGCCCCAACGCTGGCCGGCTGCCTTCTGCGCCCAAGCCCTCAAGACCTGAGCCGACTCGTCCCGCGCCGCTCGCTGCAGATCCTCCAGGTGCGCCTGCAGGGCTCACAAAAAGCAGCGAACATCCTGAATACCCTGGTCCTGGCCGCGACGGGAAATCTGACAGCTGATTCCTGGACGCCGTACCCAAAGACAGGGGGGGCCCAGCATCAGGCCAGCCCCCCCAGTTCGATCCTACTGAAGCAACCCTCCGCCTCCAGAGCGCAACGAGATTGGGCTCTCCTCGATCTCTGGCTGCCGACCCCAGGGCGCACAAGCGAAAGGCCGCCGCATCTACGTCGCCCACCTTCGGCAATCTCGAGAAATGTGCTGCTTGAGCGGTGTCTTCCAGTCCGTGGGAACAGACAACTCGATGACCGTGTCGAACCAAGGAGGAGGAGGAGGAAGGAGGAGGAGGAGCAGGAGGAGGAGGAGGATGAGGAGGGGGAGGAGGAGGGGGAGGAGGAAGAGGAGGAGGAGGAGGAGGAGAAGAATGAGAAAGAGCAGGAGGAGGAGGAGCAGGAGGCCCCTCTCTCGCTCGGGCAGCACCGTCTGCGCATCGCCGAAGGCGAGGAGGACGAGGAGGAGGAGGAGGAGTAGGAGTACAAGCCAGGTGCGCTTGCGTCATATCTGACGTCCTACACCTCCCTCCCATCCATTACCATGGCGTAGATACCCTTTCTATTCGCACAGTCGGACATCGAGCAGGGCAATGATCGCGAGAGGGTACGCGATGCATGGTAAAGCACGGCATGGCATGGCGTAGAAGAGCACGGCAGAGCGTAGCATGCCATAGCATGGCGTGGCGTTGCGCAGTGAAGCATTGCATCACACATCGTTGCAACGCAAAGCATGGCATCGTACAGCGGGGCGGAACAGTGGCAGAACACAACACCGCACAGCATGTCATGGCATGGCGCCGAGTTCCTTGGAGGGTACGTGGATCGTCTTCTGGAGGTCTGTCGTGGCTCCATGCCTAGCTCCTTGGGCACCCCGAAAAGCTCCATACAAGGCGGGGCTGATGGAGTGTACCCGCTGGCTCTGCTTTCAACATCCCTTCTCGAAGCAGGAAGCAGAAACAGGGCTCCCGCTTGATACTTCCTGAGAACGACGACGCCACAAAGTGTGGGGGGGGGCTTCTTCGGCCCCAAAAATCAAAGACTCGGCACCGAATATGGAATCACTTCCGATGGTTTTTTCGGGGCGTCATTTTCTTGTTTATGGGTCCTATTTTTATTGTGCTCCCATCGTGCGTAAGGACCACGTCCCAGAAATAATTTCGAGCACCCAGAACAGTGTCCAAAGAGTGTCGAAACAGGGTCGGGCGAGTGTCTCCCAGGGAACGACACGTGAAAACCCTCAGGTTTCGGTATTTGTTTCTGGTGCTGGAAATTCTTTCTGGTGATCAAGGTTAAAGTAGGTTGGAACATCATAAACCTATTTGGAAGAACCGACAACGCCCGCGCTGCAGAGGAAGCCCGATTTGGAACTACCAGCGGCGCAGAAATGGGGCCAGCGCTTCAGCGGGAGCAACATGTTGAAACAAACAACGAGCGAAAACCCAATTCCTAAGAATCCGGTGTAAAAAAAAGCGGAGGGGGGCCGGATATCTTCCGGACTTCATCAGGGGAGAGAGGAGAGTAGGATTCATATTGTGGAAGCCATCCTCAGGTTTCCATTCATGTTCCTCGACTCTGAGACTGTGTCACCGCGCGCATCTTCAGTGAACCCAGTGCGCTTGGCCAAAACACCAAAGGCCGAAGGGGGAGTGTGGGATGCTCGCGCTTGTCCATCGGAACTCGCTTCCGTCCAAACGGAACTTCGCCTTCAGGGTTTCGGGACGTTCTGCGGAGAGCGCTCGACCTGCTCCGAGCGATTCCAGAAACACCCCCCCCCCGAAGCAAATCACCAGAACATAATTATCGTGAACGCCGCCATGTGCAGCATCCAAGTCATTCTCGTACCTGTTATCATCGCCCAAATCGCTATCGCGATGCCAGCACCACCATTGTCACAATCAAAATCGTTACAATGATCGCCATCAGCCTTTTCCCCCGTCGACGGAGTCATCACCGCGCCATGCCACGCCACCCCGACGGCTCGTTCCGAGCCCCCCCCCACACCACCGACGCGCACCAGGCTCACCCGCCAGCGCACGCAGCACTCTCCCTCCCACCCACCCACGCGCCGCGAAGCTCCAGCCGTGTCCCCCCCCCCCTCCTCGCGCTCCTCGAACGACGGGGGCTCGGGTGCAGGATGAGGAGGCCGTCACCCAGGGCTGCACCTAAATGGTGTTTTCCGTTTTCGTTTCGTCTTCGTTGTCCTTCGTGCTGGCTTCGATCCGCCTTCACCGCAAAACGAAGTCGAAACGAACACGGCCCACGAAATCGCAAAAACACCGTTTAGGTCCAGCCCTGCCGTCATCCTCAGCCATTGGCCTCCGGTTCAAGCTGTGCTTCAACCGCAGCAGCACAAGCTGCTGCAGCTGCTGGTCAGAATGGTCCTCCTCGTGCTCTCCGCAAAAGTTTTGCTCGCCCCCCTCCCACTCGTCTCTTGTTTTCTGCGTCGTCGGTCTCCCCTTCATCCTCCTCGTCCTCCCCCCCCGACCCTCATCCTCATTCAACACTCATCCGCCTGATCACTTCGATTCCTTCTCCTTCGCCTCCTCGTCTCGTCCTTTCTCTCCTGCTGCCCCTCGTCACCGCTGGCCCAGCTGAGGCAGCAAAGGGCAATGCGCCGTGTTCTTGTGCAGCCCCTGCAGGCGCATCTCCTCGGGACGCCCCCGCTGGAAGGGGATTGCGGCGATGCGAACCGCGGGTGTGGAACATCAAACTCCTCATCCTGCTCCCCATCTGCCTCGTCCTAAATGACTTCCTCTTCCTACGTCTTACCCTCAACCTTCTGATGCCCAACCTCAATCTCGAACATTGCGCCATGAGAACCCCTTGAACCGTCCCTCGATGCCGCTTGTCACCCGCTTCTCTCTCTGGGCAACTCGTCACCTAACAACTCAAGGTCCATGATGCATTATGGTGTTGTAGTACTGCGCGCGCTTGCACCTACGCAAACACGCATGTATATCCGCCACCGTGCGTTTGGCATGCTGGGGCGTGTTCGAATGCCTGTTTGTTGTGTAGGACAATTTCGCTAGTGCCTTACAAAGGCCGAACCTCTCTGCCCCTCGCCACAACCCGATTCGCCCGGTCCCTCCGAATTTGCTCTCCTGCGCTGGCGCCCCTACGACCGCCTTCAGTTGACTCCGACAGAGCCGAAGACCGCCCGTAAACGGCTACAGGAGCTCCACAGACCGTTCACAAACTGCCCGCTGAACCCCCCCACTGCCCGCTGAACCCCCCCAAGGCCCCAATTTGTTCCTGAGGTATCCCAGGAAAGGCCAACAGAAGTCCCAAAACGACGCTACAAAGACTCCACCACCATCAGGTCGGCTGAGCAGGAACACCCACAAACGTGCTAAGGAGCCAAGACGGCAGCACGAGCGCGCCAAGACAGCCCGAGGAGGAGGGGAGGAGAGCGAGGACGACGGAGGATGAGCAGCAGCAGTAGAGCAGCAGGTCCTGGAAGATGTGCATCGCCTTGTCGAGGTGCCCGCACTTGACGCAGGCGTCCAGCAGGCAGCCGCAGGTGACCTGGGCCGCCGACTGGACACTCCCAGCGCCCCTCGCACGCCTCCTCGCTCTTCACGTCCTCTCCATTCCCCTCCTCCTTCCCGTCCTCCTCATACTCCTTGTGCCATCACCATCCTCCTCCTCCTCCTCGTCCCCCCTCTTCCAGGCCGTGCAAAAAACGGCCGTCATCCTCATACTGTTGCTGCTACTCCTCCTCCTCCTCCTACTCCCTCGCCCCCCCGTCTCCTTCTGCTCCACCTCGCCCCTCTCCTCTTCCTCGTATTCATCTTCGTCTTTGTCCTCCAACCCCCTCCTCGTCTCATCCTTATCCTCCCACAAGGGGAACCGCTCAGGTCAGACCAAACACAAAATAATTATCACGAAACGCTCCCGCAGCGCCGTGTGTGGGTGCTGCGGGGAGTGACAAGGAGGCGCTGGACTTCTGGACTGACCGAGGTACCTTTCAAGATGGTATTGCCCCGCGAATCGCATGCCAGAGCACTAGCCAAACGACAGACATGCCTGGACAGATACATCATATATCCTTGCGGCCTGGAGCGCAGCCAACCCGCTGATGGCGTCGGCCCGGGGCGCTCAGCTGATGGGGGCGCCGTCAACATCGGCCAACTCACAGCGAGAAGCACCCACAGCTGCCGACCTACCACGACATAAGCTCAAAACATGGTTACGAGAAAGTGGGTCAAGAACAGCTCAAGGGCCAACGGCCTGCTGAGATACCCCAACAGAGGGCGTCTCAAGGTGGAGAGCTCAATCACGACAAACAGAAAGAGTAGCCATTCCAAACAAGGGTTGTTCTAAGGCCCTGGTGCCAGCTGCAAATCACTGCGGTACGCTCGGAAGACCAGGACGATGATCAACAGAACGAGGCAGTCATCGGCGGTCACCCGAAATCGTCTGATGACAGACCATGCGGTGACAGCGAAATCTCACACGACCTCACCGCACGGTCGAGCACCGCCCCGCTTTGGGTCCTTGGAGGCCCCCATTGTCCGAGACTCCTCGCAGAGCGACCCAAGACCCCAAACCGTGCAATTTCACCCCGAATCCCTAGTGACTCTCAGGCCAGGCCAAAGGGGGGGATAGCAAAGGGGGGGTCTGAGAATCAGCTCACGTAGCTGATTTTCCAGGCGCCTCCCGGCGCCGGAGGCGGCCATGTATCGAGGAATGGGCCCCTTGGTGGGGCTGAAAACAGCTGCATGCAGCAGATTTCGTGCCCCCCCCTTTCCCTATCCCCCCCCCTTTCGTCTGGCCCGACCAACGCCCTCGAAAGGCCCCACCCCTGCCTCAAGACGAGCAGACCCCGCGAAGGCTGTCCCAGACCTCGGGATCCAGCTCCCGGATAGCCTCCGAGATGCTAGCCACACACTGGGCGTCCCCAGCGACCGGGTCCCCATCCCCCCCTTTTTCGTTCGGCCCGAGCGACTCACCCGACGGCGAGGGTCCGCTGCACCGCATTTTTGGACACCCGAAATGGGTACCGAAAGAATGGGCAACATGCCCAACAACAAATGTTGTCCCGAACCGACAGCGGCCGCTGTTGGACGGGCGGCCTCCTGTCTCGAATGGACACAGGCCGCGGCGGCGTGAGCAGCGAGGCCTGTTCAAAATGAACAGGAACTGCTGTTGGGCATTGTACCCATTCTTTCCGTGCCCATCTCGGGCGTCCAGAGCGTTGGGACTTCCGAGGGTCCGCTGAGCACCCTCCCGCCCTCCAGGGAGGCGCCCGGCTCGGGCCCAGGCGCCCAGCCGCGCCTCGTCTTCCCCCCGTAGCCCCCGACCCCACCTCCTCTCCGCCCTCCCCCTGCTCCATTCTCTTCCTCCTCTTCCTCCCTCGTGCCGTGCCACCTCCCTCGGTCCCATCATCTTGCTCCTCCTGCTGTTCCTCCTCCTCCTCCTCCTCCTCCTCCTATCCCTGCTCCTGATCATCCCTCGTTTTCCGGCTACTCGTCCTCCTCCTGCCTCCCAGCCTCCTCCCTCTCCGTCTCCTCCTGCCTCTCGTCATCCTCCACCCCCCATTCACCTCGCTTCTCCCTCCCCCCTCGCCCCCCTGCTCGTTCGTCACTTCCAAATCCTCCTCCTCCTCCTCGCCGTCGTCCTCCTCCCCCTCTTCCTCGCCGTCGTCCTCCGCCTCATCATCTTCCTCCTCCTCCTCCTCTCCCCTCGACCTTCCTTCCTTTGCCGTCGCAATCGCCCTCGCCGTTGCCGCCGTTGCCGTCGTCCTGCGCCGCCCTCTGAGGGATGCGCCGGGTTCACGCCAAGGCACCGCCCGCGCATCTCGTCCCACACCTTGCGGCTCGGAGGGGGCATGGGGAGCAGCTGCGCCTATGGCGCAGTTGGGCAGCCTCCTGACCACCGAAGTAGAACAAAGGAGGGAAAGAAAGGAGGAAAGGGAGGTGGACAAACTTGCTGCGTTGTCGCCACATCTGGTATCATGTTGGATGTACGGGTACATTCAACACGTACAATAAGGATGCGCGTTGAGGGTTTAAGGGCCTTGGTGGGGACCCGTTCGCGTTTTTCGAACGCAGTTGGCCAACGAGAGTCGCTAAGGATGGGCCGGAAGGAAAAGGATGCAGGGGTACACTTCAAAAGTTGGCCATCCTTTCTGTGCGGGTAGCCAAACTCCTCTATGGTGGAACGGTGTTCGGCTCGCTTCGTAAGGCGGACGACCTCCCTCCGAATTATGAGATGTGTGCGCGTGTGTGTACACATATGTATGTATGCATGTATCTGTATAAAATACATCCGTTGAATGTATATACACATATCCGTTAGCATTAAGGGCCAATTGCGACGACGGAGGAAGATGGGGCAGCGCGCGCGCGGGCGCGGCCGGCCTGCTTTTCGTCTGCGCGCCTAGCAAATCCAAAGAATGCTTCGCGGGTGACGGCCATCCTCGATCCTCCAGAAAAAGGGAAAGCCCCGGAAACCGAAGGCTCCCGAAAAACCAGCAGGGTTACCGTTCGACATATACGCGCGCCAGATACGAGGGGTAAACACACGCACGCCCCACCGAAGAAACCCTAACAGGGAACTCCACGGTCCGAGTTCACCTCGGGGCCCCACCCAACAACAAGGGGAGGAAAACCAAAACCCATAACAAAAGTAACGCAAACTTTTCCGGGAGCCGGGAAACAGAAGGAGACGCCCCGTTCCATTCGGGATAACAACGGCCGCTCTCGACCCTTAAGCCAAATGGTGTGAAAGAGGAACTTTCGAATGTTGATCGCGTCGCAGCTCTTGGCGGCATGGAAGCGCACGCGCTTCAATGCATGGCTACGCGGCGGCGCGAAGGGCGACTGAGGGAGAGGGAGCGAATGGTAAACGCAGGTAACTTAAATGAGTCGCACCAGCTTTCGCCGACGCCAGCGGCGGCTAGCTGTCGCGGCCCCAACTGTCATACCCATCGCGGGCGCTCGTCTCTTGCCAATCGCGATCACCAATACGGTCCTCCCTGTACGATGGCGGCCAGATATCCCACGGGCGGTCCGGTTCACCGGACACGTAAGCCTGCGCGGCCTGCTGCAAGACATCCCGAGCTCAAGGCCGCAGCGCGCCCCCGCGATTGTGCCCCGGAGCGTTCCGAACGGCCCTTAAATTGCGGACGCCGTCGGGGGCCTCGAGCTTGCGAGTCGCGCCCCCCGTGCTGAACCGCATCTGGAGCGGCCCCATGCGCGGGCGCGCTGGCCCAACGAAACTGTCGGGCAGGGCGGCTGGATGGCCGCAGCGTGGCCGACATCCCTGGGGGGCGACAAAGGGTCCACCCGGCCCATGGCGAGTGGCCCGCAGCTTTTGGGACGGTTCCTTGCATCGTAGCATCGATCTTCGCCGACGCAGTGGCAGCATCAGCCTTCGCCGACGCAGTTCGCCCCTAAGAGTTACTAGCTCAAGGTGGCGACCTTTCGCAAGCGGGAAATCACGCGGGTGGGAGACTCTCTGGGCGGCGCGGTGCGTCGCTTTGCTGGCGGCGGCGACGTGGGCCGGTTAAGCTGGCGCTTGGGTCGCGCGACAGCCGTCTCAATCGGAGGCGTGCGAATCGTCGCCCCGAGAAGCGCGGCAGCGTGCCTCAGGCCCTTGCCCCTAGCGGATCTCGAGGCACCCGTGCATTATGCGTGTCTCAAGACGCCCAGGTATACCCTCGTTTCCCCGAGAGCTGGCGCGAGCGAGGTCAGGAGGGATGTCGTGATCAACCGCTCGGGCGTCGCGCGCGTCGATCCACTCTAGCTATTGCTTGTCCCTGGGGCGATCAAATTGGGGCCAGCAAGCCTCTGCGTGATCGACTCGCGCGACGTGAGCAACGTCTAATCGCTCCCCTATTGGTCAACGAGGCTGCTTTAACCATTGTTCATGGCCTGAGCCCCCAAGTCTTCCACCTCCAGAAGGGGTCAGCCAGTGCAGATGGCTGACCGCGCGGGGCGAGGCGCGCGCGCTCGTCGAGCTTGAAGAAACCGGGCGCCTGCGCATCGACGCCTCCGCCACGCGACCCGCGTCGACGCTGCGCCTCTCGTTGTCGACGCGCGCTGGGGCGCGGCAGCCGGGGCAACCGGCGCGCGGGCTTGCGTTGGAAAGGTCGCTTGGCATATGGGAACTTAAGCATCGGGCGCGCGGCAAATTCCCCATCGACGACGGCAGCGGCGTTTGCCAGATGTTCGGCCTCAACAGGGGGCGCGTCGCCATGTTGCTTAGCATCGCGTTGCTCCTGTTCCCGAGTTGCGAGGGAATGTGAAACGCAGCCTGTCGGAGCCGCGAAGTCGTTCGTTTCCCGAGCGCGCAAAAGAACCCTAGATTGCCGATGTTGCGCTAAACGCTTCTGGAACGGGGTCTCTGCTTCTTTGTTCGCCAGACCGCCAGGGTCATCATCGATGAATTTCTCCACATCTTTCGACGAGCTGTCTGGGGCTTCAACCTTCGCCGAGGCAGCGTGAACATCGGCCTTCGCCGACGCGGGATTCTCGTCGGAGAATTTATCATTGCACGCGGTGCACTGATGTGTTTCGTTCAGTGGCGGGTCGGTGCTAATGGCCACTAGCGCCCAGGCGATCGGGTACGTGCCTGACCGTGGACTCAGGGGCCCGCCCTGTTCATCAAGCCTTGTTCTCATATGATCAGATCGAAGTAACAGAACTAACGGCTCCAAGCTCGTCGTTGAGATCGTATGAACATGGATCGGTCGGTTCGGTGCATGTCCCCAGCTCAACAGACTTGAATCGATCCATCGCGCCGTCTTGGTCTGCGGGGCGCGCGACATCGATTCGAGGGATGAGCTTGGTCGCCTCGCCGACGTCGGGTATCTGCGGCGACGGTGGACTCTCCCTCTCGCCTGGGGGGTTCTTCGCACATGGTTGCGCAAACAGCTCTTGCAGCTCTCCATGATAGGTGTAGCCCATCGTAGAATGAGAATCGCTACGCGTGGTGACGCGCGTTCCGTTGATGTCTGGGCCACTACCAGTCCGTCTTCGCACGTGGGCCCTGGGGTCGCAAAGTCCGCCGGCCCTCTCATGGGGCCACCGGGCTGCCGGGCGAAGTGAATGCTCCCTGCGCCAGTGGCAGTTTCAAGTCTCCAGCGCGGCAACCCTGAATTTTGCTTTCTTTTGCACATTGAGCAAGGCCGCGCGAGGGAGGGGGTCCCAAACCAGCAATTTACTGGGCCCGAATCGCGCTGCCTAAATTCCCAAGGGGGCGCGGGGCATATGATAGTGCGTGAGATTCGCGCCCCCGGGGCCATCTCCTTGCAAATCGCGCGGGGCCATCCCCTTGCAATGACCGTCGCCATTTGAGCGGTTCTTGCGCCCGCAGGGTAGCAAACCCTCGTAAATTGAATCATGCTCGCGCCCCCGAGGCCACGAACCACCGCAAACCGCGCCATGTTCGCACTGCCGAGGCCGAGCGTGCCAAGGCGCCTGAGGACGTTTCCAGCGCGGCCCAAGAGCGCCCCAAGAGCGCGCCAAGAAGGCCTCCCAGGGGGGCCCCAAGAGGCCAACGCCGTCGATTGCACGCAGATATTGGACGGATTTGGGCCCCCTCGTATTTCCATCTATCCGATGCTCCAGGGCGGCCCAAGAAGCTCCCAAGACCGTCCCGGGACAGCCCGCGAGGCCTCCAAGAGGGCCCCAAGACGGCCCAAGAGGGCTTCCAAGTTGCCCGAGAATTGCTCGAGGCGCCCCACGAGGGCCCCAAGACGGCCCGACAGGAGGGGGCCCGAGCAAGCGACCGCGAACCGAACATTTTATTGTTGCGCCCCGGGAAGCCTCCAGGAGGCCCCGAGGCGCCAGAGGGCCTTGAGGCCCCAAGAGGCGAGGCCTCCAACATCCCCAAGAGATAAACCCACGAGGCCCCCAAGAGGCACCCAACCGCCTCCAAGAGGCCACCGGGGCCGAGAGGCCCCCCGCGACTCCCCAACGCATATGCAAGAAGCCTCAGACCCACGACCCAGGCGCGGTGGCGGGGTGGGCCGAAGGCCGCTGGGATAACGCCAACGTCTCAATATGCGCTGGCGATTCTTATCCGCCCCCGCACGGTGTTCCCAGCTGCGCCGAGGCAGCGCCGAGGAATGCCGACGCCGCCGAGCAGCGACTCTGATATCTCCCATTCTGATAGGGAGAGGGGGCCAGCGGCCAAGGGCGAAGCGCACTCCTGCAGATGGAGCCCAGACATCCAAACCTTGCACTAGCATTCGCAAAAAATCCAAATCGCAAAGATGATGATCGACAACGGTAACATAGCCTTCGCTGCCCGGGGCATTGAGGCGCACGTGGGATCCCTAGGGGTCCCCAGGCGACATCTGGGCAGTCTGGGTCCCTTCCGCTGGGTCTACGCGCGAAGTCGTTTCGCAATGACAGTGGCGGTCGCCTTTGACGGCGCCCAATGTTGGAATGTGTTCAGGCTCGACGCGGCGTCGCCAGCGCCCCCCCCGACTGCCGCGGCGGGGAGAGGCGGCGCGTCCGCCGCAGCTCGCGCCGCGCGACGGCCGCGGCACGACGGGCGGCGGGCAAGCCTTGGCAGGTGTCGCGCGCGGCCCGCGTCGGGCGCGGCGCTGCGCGACGGAGCAACGCTGCCCGCGCGATGTGTCCGAGCGCGACCTTCCGGAGCGAGCCGCTGCACTTGCCAAAACTGAACAGCTTCTCGATGGCGAGCCTCGGGCGCCCGCGGCATTTCGGGCGCGCGGCCGCGAAGTGGCCGCGCGCCAAGCTCAGACCGAGACACTCGGCATCATGGCGAGCGGGTTCCCATCGTGAGCGATTTCCTCCATCTCCTCCAGGTTCCGCGCCGCGTCGCAGCGCTTGTCA